GCCGCGATCTCCAGAACTGCAAAAACTAGAATGCACCCACGTCAAATGTTGCCACGCCCAATCCAACGCCCAAAAACTGCCCAAAACTGTCACGCCCACACTTTTGAGAAATGTTATGGTACTTTTGCACTGTTTTATATAACGGGTATCTGATAGTCGGGGAACTCGACTATAGCATTCTATCTTGTTTGTTCTAGTCTTTGATTACTAAAAGGGTATGAAAGCTTCACCATGGCGAAGCTGGCTTCCTTTTTGGTTGAATTTATTTTCGGTTTTTGGCCTTCGAGGCGAACATTTTTCTCTTCTGCCGAGAAAGACTATTTGAGATTGGCGAGGAAAAGGATGCGATTACTTTGATTTCCGTACGAGGGTATCGGATTTTTATTAACCTTGATCTTTGTGGAATTTATTCATTTATACTAATGCTTTTCACTTTGCATATCTTTTCAGGTGAGTGCATGTGGTTCTGTATCTCCAATCAATACTTTGTAGATATTGATTTAACGGTTATTTGGCCTTTGACAAATTATTATGACAATGTCATACATGTGATTCAAATGGAATAAATGTCATTTAACTTATGGGTAAGATGTGATTGGTTGGCAAAGTGCTTTAACTTTAATATTACATACAATTTAGATATCTTAGGTTAACCTGTCTTAGTCAATAAATTAAATGTAAAGTAAATGCCTATACTTATAACTATTATAACGCAGTTAGCTATATGACAAAAATAACTAAATTTTTAAAACGCTTTGTATGATGCAGAGCATACAAAAGCCTACTTAACTAATTGCTGATCCCTGTGAGCCGCAGCACCATGCAATCCTTTTGATTAGATCTACATTTACCGAAATTAGCTCAAATTGTTTCAAATGCCACACAGCAACAATATATAAATAAGATCAACAACTGGAAAAACCCACACACACACAGTTGCAGATTCTGTGCCTCGAATTGCAATTCCAATTGCAATTTCTTCTTTTTCTCTGGTTACATGCAGCTACTCTTTTCCTCTTTGTATCCTTCTGTCTCTTTCTCTGGCTAAAGTGGCCAGTTTCGGATTTATTCCACTGATACACAGATACACGGAGAATATTTTCATTATTTAATGTCTTATTAAAAATGATATGTTAGTTAACTAACTATGTTAGTTTTCAACTCCATATATTTAAACTTATTTATCTTTAATTTATAATAAGTGTATAAACCTTTTAGATCTTCTTGATAAACACACTCGTTTCTGTATGGTGCGCAATACTCATATTATATTATACTATTTTTTCCTGTGTACACCTATAACACCCCCGTTAAATCGCCACCTCCTTGCCCTGGAAATCAGAACGAGTTGCAAGTCGCCGCTGCATCGCTAACAAAGCCACTCGACAACTGAAAAAATGTGGCCAGTCGAAGTGTTGATGATGGAGAGGGGTATTCTTTTTACCCGAAAGGGGTTTTCAGCTTTTATTGGGGGAGTGGGGAGTTGGTGGTGCCGCTGATGCTGCTGTTTCTGTTGCAAAAGAGAGAGCGGCAGATTGGCTAACTGGCAATTTGAAGACTCGGGCAAGGCGACCAGTTGCAGAACTGCTTCTGATGCTGGATGCCGAATGTCAAATGCTGCCTTCTCGCATGACAAGTGGCCCGCAACTAAATCGTTGCAGCAGCAACAAGTGCACTTGAAGAAACTACTCCATATTGTTTCCAGTGCATTTCAACAAGATTGTCATAACTCTGGTTTCAATTCTCATTGTATTGCCGAACATTTAGCGTGTATACAAACATTTTATGCGCTTACAACAAATTTTTCTTCATTTAGTTTCCTCAATCCACGTTTGCACACCGACCACACTTTGGATTTGATTTTATTTACAGTGTAGCGCAGCAGCAGCTGTAAAACGAGCTTTGGTAGAAAGACCGAGGCCAAGACCCGGCTTTGCTCAGTTTTCCTCCACGGGTTTTTCTTTATTTTTCACAAGCTCCTTTGTGCATTTCAATTTATTGCCCCAGAACAACAATTCAAGAGTTTTGTGCTAACTGCACCCACACACCCAAAAATCTCCCCCCGCACTGCCCCCTGCCACGGAAAACAAACTTGCCCCTATACTGAAGCGAAATTGCTTTGGTTAAAAATAACATTTGATGCTAGGCACTTGAAATTATGCGTATGCCTTGCTGCAAAAATATTTCGCTTGCAGCGCCATCTGTTGTCTGAGTGACCTGCTTTTTGAAGTGATGATGTTCTATGCGTTAGCTGGCTTTTTGAAATATTTTTATGGAGTGTTCTCCTAAGCATGTATGATGTGCATGTAAATACAGGAATTGGCCCATGTTTGCTATGTCTTACAGGTACAAAATTTGGTTAAAATAACACACGTGGAATAGTTCAAAAAATAGTTTTCGATTTGGTTCATGTTTGACATTTAGAAATTCTATTTGTAAAACTTATACATACATTGGCTGAATATCAAATACATAGTTGCATCTGAAGTAATGTTGTTCATACACCCTACGCAAAAGAAGTAAACAATGGAGTCGAGCCACAAACACAACTCTTCCAATTTCCGACTATTAGTTGGCAACGAACAGGTTGCTTTGGCTCTGGACCAAAAATGCCCAAATTTCGATGTTGATTCAATCAATAGAGTCGAAACACGTGAACTTTGAGCTGACCTAGCCCACAAAGAGTCAAAGAGAAGTGGAAGTGCGGAGCGCAATCGAGAAAAGGGAAACGAATCGAATTGAATTGAAAACGGTGCACGAAAGTGCAACAAGGGGCATGCAACAAGGGAAAGGTAAACAAACGGACAAAAAGATTTAACTTACGGATGAGAGCAATATAATTTTTGAAATTATTTGAAAATTCATTTTGAAAATATAAAGAGAACTACGATTAGATAAATAAATCACAAAATGTTTTTCATTATATTTTGAACATTTTAATAAATTGTATCTGTTAAATATTAATATTATAGATTCTATTACATTAAAGTTAACTATACTACTAAAATAAATTTGGGCCGCTTTTCATCAGGCCTTTCGAAAGCAATTGAAAGCGGGCGGAGTTATCGAAAAAATGGCCATACAATATGACTACATATATTGGTTTACACAATGATATACGCTTTTTGTGTGAAAGATACAATCCTGCTGAAATATTGAAATCAATTGTAGGTCTCTTTTTTTTCGGGGTTTTTTAAGCGCTTTTCTGCTGCTTTTTTTTTTCTTCGTTTTTTGATTAATTGGCAATGGCCAATGCAAATGCTGTTGGCCTTTTGGCTGGGGCACAGATACAGATACACAGAGCCAAAGAAACAGATACAGTTGCATTGTCAACGTTCCAAAACAGCCCCAGCAGCGTATGGCATACAATTTAAAAATGTATCCAAGAGATACATTACACATTACGGCCATGGCTTGCCAAGTCTTGACTTGGAAATTCCCTTCACTGCATTCTTTCCCACACCAAAAGCCAGACAAAAGAGCTGAGATACGTACGTATGTATGTATGTACAATATATATATATATTTATATGTATATGGAGAGGTGGCTTTTCGGGGGCTATATATACAGATACTTTTCGGGCCTTTGGTCTTTGCTAGTTTTGGTTAGTTGACTGCAGGGCTTACAATACACCCAGCTTACTCCAACCTCCCACTTTTCTGGCTGAGACTGAGTCGTCGCCGTAGTCATTCGCATTGTCGTAAATTTTATTAGAGTGTAGTGTAGCATCGTCATTATCATCATCGCGTTCATGATGATGCGACCTAACACAATTCTTAGTTAGTTTGCATTTTGGCTTATGGCTTTTGTGTTTTACTCGCTCTTAAAATAATACAAAAAAAAAAAAAACCAATACCTACGACCATAAAACGTTTCGCATTTCAAAGGCCAAACATTATTATTATTTTCAGCTTTGGCGTATTTCTCAAAAGTTTTCAATTTATTTTTGTGTGGAAAACTGATACGACTCTGACTTGTCGTTCTGAGTTATTGCCTTAACATAAATGCCTGTGCTCAAAGTCTCCAATTACTTTTCATTTTTGGCCTTCGGTTTGTCAAAGTTCAAATTGTTATCACTCGGGGAACGAAAATCTCGTTTTTAAGCTTTTTTGTCTTGGGTCTCTTTGGGGGTTATCAAAAAACAATTATGCTGCGCCCGAATTTTCGGAATGGGAACTCAGATTTCAGTTATGAGTTCGTTGCCCATCCAAAGGTTGAAAAAAAAAAGAATGTTTATATTTACTTTGTTTACTCTAGAAATGTTTATTAGTTTGTCTTTAAATAAAAAAAAATAAAATCGGAATATTTATCAATTTTTTAAAATACATCCTAAGTAATATTATTATTGGAATTTAAAAACAATTTGTTCTTCATAAGGTTTCTAGTACACGATTCCAATTCTATTAGTAATTTACCAGAAATGCAAATTTCGCAGTATATTTTCGGGAATCGTGATTTTTCGTCAAAAAAGGCAAATCCAAAGAACAACTGTTGAAAAACTATTCAAATTCCATGGAACATAATGCAAATTAAAACAAATGCACTGCGGAAATTAGTTCACAAAATCAATTTTAAAATTGCTGATACTTAGAAAGATATGCAAAACCGGGAAATCACACAAATTTTGCCAACTCAAATAGCTTTTAAGATATTGTTTAAGAGCGTGCCTCTTAAACTCTTACGTCGTTTGTAAACTCTCTTGAAGTGCACTGAGAGGAATGCCGGTTTGGTGAGAATGTGTGCGAGTCCGAGTCGTATCTGTGTAATTACTACGTTGCGGTGACGGTCGTTCGTTCGCATTTGTATCTCTCAGATAAATCGCTCTTACCCACCAGTGTGAGTAGTAAATATATTCCGCTCAGCTGTGCTGCGGGTCTACGTGTTTTTTGTTTTATTTGTTTTTTTGTTTTCTTTACTCGCCCAACAACAAATGACATATGCGGGGCCGCTGAGCGAAAAAGTATCTTCCAGTACCGCCTTCCAGTTTTGAGATACTTTTCGGGTTCCAATGAGAACGGACTTCGGGCTTCGAATCACGAGTCGGTTGCCGATTCGTAACGGCGGCTGCTGGCAGTCCGATATAAACTCTCAAACTGTACGGTTTGGTTTGGCAGCGCAGCTGAAAAGCGGAAAACTGAAGAGGAAAAGCGGCGAAGAGGGGATCGAGGAAGGGCAGCGCGTCGTGTGTTTTCATCCTCCTTCTGCAATAAACAATTGTTGTTCTACAAGTTTAAACAATTAAAAGTGAGTGTGGAAAATGTGAAGCGAACAAATGTTTAAATCGGTTTTCAAACATATTCAATACCTAATTTATATAATAAAACTTGCTGTTCAACAAAAACAAAAAATTAATTACATTGAAATATAAAAACTAAACGAAAAATACCAAGCCGTATACTGGAAAGAAATCTAAACAATTAAGTATAAAAAACGAAAAAATATGTACAAAAATTCCATTTAAAAAAACACGATTTCATTGTTATTTCGTTCAACATCCTGTTTTATTATAACCAAAAAGCCATAATCGCTATAATCATAAATAATAATAACAATTTCGGTGTGACGTTTTAGTTAATTCTAAAAAAATGAATGAAAAGAAAACAGACAAGCACACAGCCCATCCACTTTTTTCAATTGTAATTTCCGGTGTAGCGGAATTTCACTGTGCATTATTGTGTGGAACTCTAAGTGTGGGTGAACGAGTGTGCAAGAGAGAATGAAGAAGGAAAAAAGAAAATCAGAAAAAAAACATAAACAGCCCAGAACAACGTGCTCGTCTGTGTGTGTGTGAAACTAAGAAAACTGAGCCATATAGAAAAACAATTCTTAGAAAAGTGAAAAAAAAATTGCCATTGGTTTATTGAATTTATAGCCAAGTTTTGTATCCTTTGGCCCACGTTGAGGTTACATAAATATCAGTCAAAACAATAGAAATTTTCAGTTAATTATTTCCCTCGTCAATTTAAATATTTTCACATTTTTTATAGCCCGTTTAAAAGTGCTAATAGGAATACTTAGTAGCTTAGTGATTTAATTGGTATTTTGCTATAGATATGTATGTATGAATATGGCGGATTTTAGTTACCTGCACTATAAACAATTCCAGTGAATTTTTACTTAGCTGACAGTTCTCAGAAAAATATAAATTGCTCAATAATTTTCATTTAGATGTTTGTACTTGTGTATCACATATGCATTTCTATCAAGAATAGCATGTATGTATATATTTCTAAGCCCCAACTTACGTATAAGTAAAGGTGCTAAGTAACAAGCAAATGCTTATAGAGTCTAGTCAATAATTCTCAAAGAAACTCCAACTTTAATTGGCTTTTCAAGGATTTAGTACAAGAAATGTTCACCAAAACTGACCTCACCTAATCCCAGTTGACTGCAGGCAAATATTTATGTATCTGAGGTAATTTAAGTAAGCTGGCCATCAAATTTGGGAGGAAAACTTTTCAAAATCCAGAAACTCGAAGGTCGCAAAACTTTGATTACACATAAATACCAATACCAATACCAAGTAAAATAGTGTGCAGAGGCTCAGAGTTTTCCACTTTCTTGAATGCCAGCTAATTAACATGGAAAATTTATCCAGAATTTGAATAAATCGCTTACTCATGGCAAACTTTGGCATGGATCGGGGGCGGCACCATAAGTTTCTAGAATTTATAGAGTCGAGAGCGATATCGATAGATAAATATGGCGAGCGAGAAACAGATTTGGGTACTTGTGGATATAAAGAAGCAGCCGCAAAGAAATAACACTTTCCCATTGGGGTATAATAAACAATTAAAAATTATTTACTTGCTGCTATCGAATGCTAAACAATCGAATCGCCTGTAACCTCAATTTGGGTCCAGAGAAGCAAATCACATATGTACATATGTATCTAATGCATCATTCTACTTTTCAGTCTGTGGGCTAAGTGTAATACTAAAATCGAACATTGAAGCATTCCAATTAAACTAACAATCTAAGTGCAATACAAATAGTCCAGATAAAAATCGACGAGAATATTTACAGAAGCTGTGTTCATAAATCGATTTGCTCGAAACAACGCAAAACAAACCAATAAAAGCAAATCGAATTAACTGTTTAATCAGCAAAACAATTTAATACACATAATAAATAAGAATAAACTTAATAAGCATTTAAAATAACAATACCAATTTTGTGCAATTTAAACAATAATATTATACATAATTTAAATGCCTTTAAAAGGTTAACCGATTTTTGCTAACTACTTTTGCGCTAAATCAAAAATAAAAACCTTACACTTTATAAACTTCAATTAGCTAATTGTTATGAAATAAAATTTATAAAATTAAATAAAAGTAAATAAATAAAATACAAATTTTAAAAGCTGCAAGGTTTTTAAAAAATATTAAATTGCTAAGTAAACATTAAATCAGCTTTAAATGAATTTTGCTGAGCTGGATTACGTTTGTAACACTTGAAGCAGAATTTTCACATCTGTAAGTATGACAGTAGAACGAAAATCTTTTAAGAGTCTACGAATACTTTGTAAATCCAAAAACGTTATATCTTTGCTGTCTTCGGAGTTTTAATATAATATAATAATATAAGAGGCTAGCTCTCAAGAATATTTGTCGTCTGACTTGTTTAGTGTGCGATTATTAAACTTAAATCCCATGATGTTAGTGCGGACTCACTTATGTTTTTATTATTTGATAGTTTGTTTAGTTTAGTATAGTACGTGGTCTTACATTTATATGGGTCAACGAATTTTCACTTTTTTGCCAAGGAGATCTTTTTATTGGCAGAGAAAAAGGTAGGGACATTTTTATAGTGAACCCTCGGCATCTGAGTGCTTTGCACATAAGAGGCTTACTAGACAAACAAAATCCCCATCAAATAAATTTAACTCAATTGCCCAAACATTCCCCAATGGTCGAGCGTTGATTGTAGATTGTTGATGATGTACATAGGTATTATTGTTGTGGAGGCTTGCGTGTAAACTTTTATCTGCACTTAGATTTTTGACATACAAATTTATTGTTTATGCCCATGATAATAAACGAAGAAAAAAAAAATGAACATGCAATTTAATAATTATACAATTTACGGTCTGTTTGAGTCTAGCTCATATAACACATGTACGTGTGAATTTAAAGAGTTGGCTTGGCAAAATGATGAAAAGATTTTTCAATGCACAAGTGCAGCTTCCAACTATTGATCATTTCCGCCCAGTTTCGGCCAAAAAAAAAAAAAAAAAAAAGCTGTCCAACTGTGTCGGAGGTCGGTGAACTTTTTTACGCGGCCAAAGCTGCGTGTTTGTTTAGGCCCAAAAATCTCACCGTCGCTTTATTGCGGTTATTGACTTTAAACTCATTTTGCTTCCACGTCTTCATCTCCTTTATCTGTTTGGCCCACACACACTTGTCCATCGGCATTCTGGGCCTAATTTCCTTTTCGGTTTTGGGTGTGTTCGCCACATCAAAAAAACAGTTGTACCAAAAATATGTATATGGGAAAAGAAGGAACAGAAATTAACATAATCAAATTTACTTTTGTACGCTGCGAACACGTTTCGTGGCCGAAAGCAGAAAAAGTGAAGACCATTATTTAATTTTCGTGTCAGTCGGCGCAATGCCCCAAACGAACGGCATTGAAGTATTGACAAACTGAGGGTTATTTACACCTGCCAGTTTGTTCGACAAGCTAAGCTTTACAATGGTCTATAAACAGATTTTAGCATGAGTGTCGATTTCAACTGAATTTTTCTACGTTTAGAACATGTTATTGTCTCGCAATTACGATCGAAAAGGGTACACGTAATAAAATCTTGGGATAGGCTTTCTGCAGCTAAATCAAATTTAATTTACGCATAACACAACAGGGCATATGATTAGAACTCAGAGTAGTAATTTAATCATTACACTAAATAATATGCAAGATGTTGTTTATAACGGATATTCGATTTTTGGCTGGCTTTCATTTATTTGCCAGTATTTCCAGTATTCCAATATAAATTTACTGAACCACAGCCCCTGTGGTCTAGGCTTTCGAATCCTCTCGAGAACCAAAATTGTAGTCAACACAGGACGAGCATGCGGCAAATGTGTTGCACCCTTACAGCAAATTTTCCTTGCACAACCAAGTTAGTTTCAATTGGCCAAAAACCACCGCCTAGGTCGGCTTGTCTAACCCAGGATCATTGTCTCTGGCGTCAGAGAAACCAAGTGGAAATCGAACAGTTGGCAAAGCTGCTGGGATACAAGCCCGAGGAAATCGATGGCTTTCTTTTTAATCTAAGCCTACGGAACTATAATGATCTATTGAAGCCCAAGGGTAATGGATGGGATGGCTGCAATGTGCCCCTTTGTTATCCGTATGTCTGTGATCGGTACATGGCCATATTCGATCATCGTGGCAACCTACGAAGTCCCATCCATACAAGGAGTCTGGATAGTTTACTTCCGTTACTGCTGGATTACCTGAATGGCGATTCGCCTAATGATCGCAAGGACAAGCCCATTTATAAGGTGTATCCTGACGAACACCAGGGGAAACGCCGTTCAAGTATCGAAAGTGAGAAAGTTTTAGGCGCAGGCAAGGAACAGAATGTTTTACAAAGTCTGGCATCTTCAGATTGGATCTTTCAGATCTTCGGCAGTCCAAGGGAATCAAAAAGCGGGAAAAAAACAACCTCCCGCCGTAAACCGCAATCGGTGAATGGAACGGAATTAGAGTCTGAATTTGAATTAGAATCTCAAAAGGACAAAAAGAATAGGAGAAATAAAACCTTTGGTCGGCAGTCTGTGTTTCTTAATGATGAACTAGCCCTAGCTTATGACAAGTCTTATGATTATGCGGAATATCTGATGAAAACTTTGGGTCGGCATCGTTTTAGGGACAGCTATGTAGGTCCCGTGGGAGATTTAAGAACAGCACGTACTCGCCTTCTTATCAGGGACTTGATCGCCAGAAAAGGAATGAATATAACTGAAAAAAATTTAAGAAAGGCCCTAAAAAAGATTGATCTCGAGTGGAAGGGAACAGCACGTGCAGATAATAAACGTGAATTGAAAACTGCTCAGGAGATTTCCAGGCTTTACAATGCCATTGTTCAGACGCCATCCATTGACTCTATTCCTTGGGAAATTATAGGTAAGGTCAGAGAGAACTATCCAAAGGTTCCAAAAGCCTCGAAATCTCCCAGAAAATACTCGGCCGACCAAGACCCATTGCCTTTCCACGAACCTTTTGCTCAAAAAAAGAACAGGACCTGGCCACGGCGACATTCAAGACGTTTCCCCCGAAATACCAATTACAAACTATCAACTACACGGATCAAGCGATATATAAACACATCCATGAAGAATCAAATAGAGCCGGTCGAAGATGAGTCTTCAATTTATTCAACTCGGAGCGAAAGGGGAAGATTGCAGAAATGAGGGGCTTAAGATGCCTTGCTTGGTGGTTCCAAATTATAAATGGGCTTGATGTAAAATGTTTTTCTTTTTCATTTCTGATTATCCCAGCATGCTTGGAAAATTACAGTAGAGAAATCATTCAAAATTTTAGTCTGGAACTGGGAACCACTAAATTTGTACTTTAATATCTGGTTTTCGGAACTCCCAGACGGTCAGGCCAAAATGAATAGCTGCTGCTGTAGATCGCATAGCGATCGCACCGATCCCATGGCCTGTCTACCTCAGTTTCCACGTCTACAGCGGGTCCAAAGTTGTCGGCCATTTTTGGAGGGACGAAAGGCAGTCAGCTGTTGTGTTTCGGGTGAGAGGCGTTGGGGTCAGAGAAACGGAGGTATGATCCAGGTTCTGGCCAAGATGGTGAACAAATCGTCCAGTACGGTCTGCCAATTTCTGCACCAATTGACACTGCAGGTCTTTGCGAGAATTCTATATCCTTTGATGATGGGCTGGAATACGCTGAAGGTACCGTTTGTTATACCCGACATCTGCGAGCTATACTACGGGATATTCGACGAATGTGGTAACTTGAGGGGTTCCATTCCCACCAGGACGTTGCTCATCCTGATATCCATGATCCAGTACTTTCTAAATCTACCCAAGAGATGTGGACGAAATAATATGTGTCCGGGTTGCAGAAGCCAGTCAGATGATTTGAGGAACATTCACAATCCCGGTTATTGTGGCAAAAATGCGATGACACCATTCTCGGGACGGCCAATTACACAACAAGGACCATCGACGAGAAGTCAAGTGTGGGCGGGACTTAAGCGAGTGGGATACGAGAGACGTGTCGATCTAGACAGTTATCCCTCGGATGAGTCCATTCCATATGGCTATGCACCACATCGATGTCCTTGCCAGGCCGGGGATTCCAAAGTCCAGCGATCCGCACTGGGACTTACGAATCCTTATGCAAATAGGTCTGGGCCCTTGAGATCATTGGTCACCGCAGAGGACCTGGAAAGTCCCATCTCTCCTTTCGATTATAATCGGCGAACTTCAATGGCACCCATTTCACCAAAAGCAGCCCAATTAATTCACATCAATCACATCTCGAATCTATACGCTGCAGTCGTACAGAACCAACATACAAGGAAATTATTTGCTGATGGAAAGCCACCAAGGCCGCGGGTAAGACCCTGCACTGAGAACCAAAACAGATTCTCCGGAGGTTTCATGATGCCCCAACCGTATTTCAATGGTATGCCATGGAGTTGGCTGCACAGAGATCCGCAGAGAATGATACGCCTACCAAGTGGAGGTATTCCATTGCAAATACCTCGTTATAGACGCCAACCTTTGGATGAAGAGTATCACAGCTTTAAAAGTAAATATGAACTCATGAGCCGACAGGATAACCCTTTCAAGGAAAACAGCTTATTGCCTTTGGAGTATTACCCATCTGAAAATAGATTTAACCCAGGAAATAGGTTGCCATCTATAAGCTGGGAGGAAAAAATAATGGATCACCCTAATTATAATATTTCCAATGATCTAAGACAAATCCCAGTTAAGCAACAAGGAAAAATGGCGTGGGAGGAGCTCTTTATAAAAAGAATTAATGATGCAAAGAAAACTAAGGGAACTTTTGATTACTGGAGGGAGATGCTGGAGAGAAATAAGTGGAGAACATTTCAACAAACAATAAAGGACATACCAATATACCCTTCCAAAGAGTATGGGTATTCCCAAACAGGAAAAGAGAGTAACCACATTATAATGAAGAGAAGCAGTAATTCCTTGAAAACAGCAAGACAAAACCAAAAGAAATTAGAAATCGAAAAACCTGGGATTTCAAAAAGGGCAAGTATCAATCAAAGAACTCCTCGTATTCCACCTCAACATCCAGTAAAAAAAGTTTTTAGGAGCAAAGGAAAACAGACTTTAAAAAATCACCGCGAACAGGTTAAGCCTCAGGGCACCAATAATATTAAGTCTGCAGATAAGACCCTGCGTTTGGCAAAGAATGCAATAATAAATAACCCAATTAAAAATCAACCAAACTATCCTGATCCCGAGGATTATAGAAAAGAAATGGCTAGAAACCGAAGAAATAAAAGAAAAACTGCGGGGGAGTCCGTCATGCTGATAAAGCCAGCCAAAAGTATCATTCGAAAGCCTATAGACACCCAGTTAAGTGCAATATGTCAGGAAGATATAACAAGTTTGAAGAAACAATTAGAGATGAGCAAAAATGATAAAAGGGTACGATTTCGTGTTCCCAAGCCTTACAGCTTCGAAAGTGAAATGCCAGCAGAAGATTCGAAGCGGAAAACCAATCGCAAAAGTAAAGTATCTGGAAGTTGTGTTCTTCCTGAAGGTGGAGATCAGATACCAAATCAGTTCAGTAAGCTCCATAGTCAAGATAAAAGTGCTACAAAAAGTGTGTTTTTCCGAAGATCGGGAAAGTCACCGGAACGAGGTTTACGAAAAAAACGATTGCATGCAGATGATGTTACAGAACTGCCCACACATAGTAAACGAGCTACGATGGGTTTTCAAACGAAATATCATGGAAATACCAAAAACAAACCCCCCCTCAGCAGAAGCTGTAAAATCCAGCCCAAAAAAATTTTGTATTCCAGAGAAGGAACTAAAGACGTGGATACACTGAATCAAAGACTGAAGCGAAGGTAGTCATTAGGTTGTTTGTTATGATAGCAGCGTTCTTGTAATCTATCTATCGATTGGATTGATGTTATTTCCAATATTTACCTGAATTATCTAAAATCAATATGAGCTACATGGTATATTTTTGTTACTAAGCTTGGCCACCGATTGTATAGAGACACCACGCCTGACCGCCTATTAAATTTTCGTTCTAAAAGTGTACTTGTGTGGCTGGGACTGCCCAAACTCATTCAGTTGGCGAGGAAAAATGGGAAATACTCACTAGCATTGATTGAAAGCCGCAAACACTGCAGCACAGTTGTGGTGAAGTTGGTTGCGATTTTCCGCATTTCATTTGGGCCTAGTACACCGATAATGATAACGATGCCTGGCCGCTGGAAAGGGTTTCCTTTAAACTATGCTACTAATCGAAGCTTACTTTATTCCTCTGGAGTTGGGTTAGCTGAAAATCTCCCTTTTTCCACTAATTTTTCGAATATTTTTGTGTTTGAGACTGGCTTTCAGGTCGTTCGGTTGCTTTTACTGTACTTTGGGGGCCATAACGTGTTTCCTCCCCCTTAAACTCTTTTATATATGTGTGCCTAAGAGCTGAAGGCCGTGAGCCGAAAGGCAAATGTTTTGTGGGAAGTGCGCAATTTTGTGCTAAAGCCGAGAATCGTATTGGTAACAAGTGCCTCTCACTTTATTGGCCCCTGGTTGGGCCTATCAAATTGGCTGCTTGAGGAAGAAACAGATTAGATATTCAGACGAGATTTGAGTAACGGGACAGCCCCAGTTCTCTGCATAAATTTTAAATAAATTGTACCAAATTAGCAGCTGGAATATGGCTTACAGAGTGAGTAACTCTGTCTATATAGAAGGAAGAAGAAAGCGGTCTTTAATGAATATTCATTTATATACTCCGAATTTTATTTGTGTTAAGGAACCTATTAAAAGCAGCTATGGTACCAAATTCCAGCATCATAGCAACCCCGGGGACCGAGTTCCTTGAGGTTTCCAAGTTTCACCCACCACTTTCCTCTTCCAAAGACCACTTTTCACGCACTCTCTTACATCCAAGGGCTTCCCCTGCTGCTCACAATGTCGCCATGGCGCTTATCAGTCTGATGTGACTGTGATGATAATAATTCAGAGTCAAATATCTCGCGACGTCTAGTGGCCAAGTCATGATTTATGGCATTCCATTCGAGACTTAAACAATACGATAATTATTTATTAGAGTTGAGACCGACTCCCCCCCTCTGCAATCTCATCACTACTTTGTGCGCGCAGCAGCAAACACACAAATATGTGTATATAAATAATAAGTTTTTGTTTTGGCTGCAATGACTTTGCCCAGTTACTGAAACCCGGGCCCCTCATGCGGCAATTTATAATGTTGAGTGCCAAGCAGTTAGGAGGGATCCTCTGTGTCTATATATGTTCTCCATAAACGATAGAATGGATAGAATGTATACATTTGTATATAGGGAGTACCAAGAGTAGACAGACAAGAGTCGCCCTGACAAAACCAGTTGGAAATGGCCTGGCAAACGGAATTTATTGCAATGGAGTGCTGAAAACTAAATCATCATCTTTCAACCAGATCCAGTACCAGGGTTATCCCGATCCAGATGGGATGGGTTGGGATGGTGGGCTGGTCTAGAATAATTGATACACTCTTACCCCTTCCACCAAAACTCATTTAATATTTATGCGCATTTAGCCGGCCACTTTTTCCATGCGAAATCGCTATTTTTGTTGTGCAATAGTTTGCAGTTGGCCCATGCGTAAGTATGCGCAAAATAAATACATTTTTTATCTTCATTTTATTATTTTTGGCTCTGCGCTGGTAGGCATAAATTATGCGCAATATTTAACGCCTTTCAAAAGCAAAAAACCAACAAAAAAAAAGTAGAAAAACAAACGAGATTCAGAGAAAAAGCCTGCAGAAACCTTAAGCAGGCATGATGTATAAAATAAAAGTAAATTGGTTGTCCGGCTTTGGTTTCCTCAACATCCGTATCCGGGGCATTTGGTTTTCCCATTTATTTTTTCTCTTTTTTCTCTTACTTATGTATATAAGTATATTTTCTGTGCGTTTTTCCTTTGCTCGTGTCGAGTCGTTCAAGCTGTGGCATAATTTTTACGCATTTGCTCGGACCCCCAGGCAAAAGTGTTGATAAAAAAAAAAAAATGTATTTTACCAACAGGGGCGATAGCGCAGGGTGGGCGTGGCGGCACACGCATAGACTTCCTGCTTGAACTACTACTACAAAAAAAAATATATATATATAAATAATAAAGAAAAATGCTGGAGCCGGGCAAAAAGTTAAACAATTCATGGTCTCGAGCTTTATGCTTTATACGCAAAACTTTGGTCTTTGATTTCGGATGTCAAAGCATCGCCACACACACTTTTCGCTCGACTTTGTGTGCGGAAGAACGCTTATCTACGCCGGCAGCCAAGCCGCCCATCAGCGAACTAGAATTTTCGTTGAACATGCCCTTCTGAGTCCAAGATGGTCTGTTGATCAATTTGGTTAGCTTAACTGCTAAAATGGTTGGTACATCGTGAAATGTTTCATTTATTACTACATGTGCCTATTCCTATATGAGGGTATATGAATATCATAAAACTCGGTCAAAGATAATAAAATGTAGTTATTTGTGCACTTCATATATGACATGCTTTGGTTAAAATACCTTTCCAATTTTATCTTATTTAAATGTGAGGGTAGCACGTAATTCGGCTTGGACGCTTTGATAGATCGCACATTTTTGCTTGTTTTATGTTTATTTGTTTGGGGCCGCGTCGTTTGCCAAAAACCAAGGCTGTCTGTCTATATATCTGCGTTGTCCCTGCCGCTTCTTGCCACTTTATTGCCGTCCCTCTCGGCCGTGCACAAGCTATCTCTTTCGCCTCACTGCAAGTTCGTGTGTTTGTGTGAGGCCAAAATCCACTTAAATCGATAAAAACTATCAAATCTGTGCGGGGCGTGTGTGCCTTAGTTGTTGGTTTTTTTTTGTTTTTTTTTTTTGGGTTCTTTTGGTTCCTTTGGTTCTTTCCCTTCTCCGGCGGAGTCTGAAGCCGGAGCTTCGTCACTCATACGCCATGTGCGCCGTCTCCGGGCGGCGTCGCCACTCATTTTTCGCCCATGTTGCGTATGTTGTCAAGTCTCTTCCGTTTGGTGCCGCTCACTGGAACAGTGTTTGGCCCTTTTTTTTCTCGGTGTATGTGTGTTAGCCTTTTTTCTTGGCATCGGCCATCGAAATTGTGCTCAGCATTATTGTTGTTGCCGCTGGCATGTCCGTTTTGGCATGGACTTGGCCCAAACTCATTGTTTGGGGGAATCCCATTCCACGTTTAGTTAGATTCTGCTCTTCTGTTTTTTCTTTTTTTTTTTCGGGGTGGTTCGGTTAGGCAGCAGCAGCATTTCCGCTCTTTTCCGCTGTTGTCAAGCAGCTAACACACACCATCGCACATGTGTGTGAGTTTATAGGCGCCGGCATTTGAACCAAAATGTACCCTACCCAAAAAAAAAAAAAATCCAAGTGAGATATGTGTGGTGCCCTCCTCAAAACTATAATGCTAAATGACAAAATATGACAAATTATAATAAAAAGAAGGAAAGAAGCTCGGCGAAAAAGAATCTTTATATGCATATTCGTTGAACGAATTTTTGTTTGACATTTGTCATGGAAATCTTTCCATTCCGCTGATTCGTCTTTTGTCTGGCCAATTTTGCGGTCGCCTCACATGACAGCCAGTTGGGCCTCCACTTGTGGAGGCATCTTTCCCGAAAAGCCTGCATTAATACAAATATCACGCACTCGTAAATGCCCCTTTTATAGGCATTGCGTGCCGAGATTTTACAATGGCTGTGAAAATAAAGAAACACTCGAATAAAGATTAACAATAATCGGTGCTAATCATAGTGCAATTATGTGCCACTCCAACTAGTCCGCACTTGTTCTTGGTGGAGAGATTAGAAAATATTATTAGATTCATCTAACTATTGTTTATGTTAAATTGTTTATTTTAATTTGTTACAGAAATATATTCTAACACGTTAATAATTTTCACTTAAAGTTCGCCTTTTTTTATTTCATTTTCAAATTTTACCACCCAAAAAGTAAAAAGCATCTTTATTTTATTTGCTTGACACACATTTCCAATTATTTTCTGTATAAAAGTTTCCATTAACTTTTTAGTATGTCAACTGCAGTCAAATATAACTCAATTTTCATCACTTTGCAAGAACCAATTAAAGGTCCCAGTAGTTTTCATTTGAAAAACAATATTTAAAGCTATATTAAGAAAAAAATTGAAAGTATTATCAAAAGTTATTAACTTTCAGCCATAAAAAACAAAGTATCTGTAACCAAGTTTGATGTGGAAAATAGGTAAATCAGTAGGGGTAAAGGGTTGGTTGGAGGGGAAATCCCCTCTTGACAAAAAGTAGATCTGGTTATAATTGGGGGAAAAACCTCACGCCAAGCAAAGTTTCCAATTAGAGAGCGAGTGGATGAACAATTTGTGCTTTCATTTCGTTTTTGCTTGTCGGAAAAGCCAAGCTTGAAGTTTTCCCAGTTTTGGTTTTAGTTATTTTATATACATACATGTATTTCGCAGTGTTTATGGGGCTGTTTTTTAATATACGTTTGGCCAAAGCAATTTGCTCACATGGTGCAAACTGGTGCACACAAACAAAAACCGAACTTTATAAACTAATAAACTCAGCCGTCGAATACATGTGCCACGCCTCTTTTAGCCCGCCTTTCACTCCCTGAGTTTCGATTAAATTTTTGTTTAGGTATTTTTGCCGCACTTATTTTATTTATTATTATTTTTTTTTTTTTGCTGCACAGCGCTCTTTCCTCGTCGCTCAACAATCGGAAAAGTGCTGCAGCAATTTTTGTGTGCTCCATAAATATTTCTCGAACATTTTTCGGGGTCTCCCTGTTGGCCTTATTTTCTTTTTTTTTTTTTTGTTGTGTCCCCCCATTGCAGCGATTGTCGTTGGCCATATGCAACTAGCAATTTTGGATATTCCCCACAATCTCCTAAAATCACACAGAGCCACAGACATGGATGCACCTCAAGGCATTTGTTGTCGTTGGAGATTTGCAAACAGATTGAAAATTGATTAAGTTGCTGATGAAATAGAACCGAAACCGGTTATTCCACTAAGGGGATTATTTAGCAAAGTGCAGGGAAA